TGAGGATGATGCTTTGTTTCAAGGCTAACGGTTACATGTGTGATCCACATCCAAAGTCCACTCTTGTCTGCTCATCAGAATTACTAGGGATGTTTGAACCCTTAGCCAGAGCTAATCAAACAGAATCTCTGGAGCTAGAACCTGCTGGAATGTATTTTTTAAAAATTCTCTGAAAATTATCTTGCCCGAGAGATTTATTAACTACAAAGGAAGAAATAGTACCTTTAGAGTGGAGAAATCTAAGCATCTTAACCATGTGATCAGTGGTGACATCACCAACAACATACATCAACATCGTGTATCCTCTGGTATTATGCTCTGAGGATATATTACTTCTGTAGTATTAATGCATAACCTTAATGTAATCAGAGAAAATACTGGATCAAACCCAAACTGAGGAATATTCTACAAAATAACTGGCCAGTATTCTTAAAAAAAAAAAAAAGTGTCTAAGTCACGAAAGATAAGAAATGACTGAGGAACTGCCACAAATTGGAGGAGACAGAAGAGAAATAACAAGTAAATGCACCACAGGATCTGGAATCTGTGGCAAGGACTATAGTTTAATTACTAGTTTGTATCGATGTTAATTTCCTGGTTTTGATAATTATACTAAGTTTATATAAGACGTTAACATTAGGAGAAACTGGATGAAGACTATATAAGAACTGTTTTTGCAACTTTTTTAATAAATCAAAAATTATTTTGAAATAAAAACAAAAAGCCTCTCTCTACTTGGGAGTTTCTCACAGTATTTACTTTTGCTCTTCAGAAGCACAAGTAACAACCTAGACATTTACTTTTACTTTGGTGATAGCCAAAGGACTGAGCTGGAGAAATGACTGTAGACCAGATCAGGGTGCCATCTTATCAGAAAACAGAAACACCTGGAATGCTTCCTGCATTTTGAAACATTTACCCCCTTTATTTTGTTTTTCAAATTACAAAAGTAATATATGTTGTAACAAGTAAAACAATACAAAGATAAATAAATTAAACAACTGCTTATTTTTCCCTTCCCCCCACCAAGGTAACCAATGTTAATTAACACCTTGCTGTATATCCATCCATACTTTTCTTTGTTCATAGAAACATACATGCATATATATACATTTTATTTTTTTAAAAATAGATTCATATACATTATTCTGCAATTTTCCCTTTTCACTTAACAATATACCATGAACATCTCCACAAATTAGCAGAGTTCTAGCTCCCCACTCAAATAATTTTACTTAATCACACACTTGAGATATCATACTTGGTTCATTTATATATTTTTTTCTATTTGGCTTTCATTTTCCCTGACTCCCTCATAACCAACCTGCATCACCCACCTCCCCCCAACCCAATGTATACTCTTCTATACTTTTCTTCATGCATAGAAAATCATACACAAACATACATGGATACATGTTTTTCACTCAAACAGCTAGAGGAATTTTGTCACTGATTTACAAAAACAGGCTCATATTTTACAAACTTACTTGTACTTTTTTTGCTCAAGAAAACATTGTGGAATTCTGTTCAAGTCCACTAGCATAGTTTAATTTGTCTACTTTAATGGCTATATAAACATTATATGGAGTGGATATACTAGTTTCTCCCCTCTTCCAATTTCCCTATTGATGGGCATTTATTTTGATTCTAGTGTTTTATTGCCAGTAGGAACAATTTTTTAATAAATATACATATTCATCTGCCCTTTATGTATTGGGGTTTTACTTCTAAGAGAAGATTCCCCGAAGTGGCATAAATATTTTAAGTTATAATAGATGTTGCCAGATTGCTTTTCCAAAGAGCTGTAATTTATGTTTCCACCAGCAGGGTATAAGAACAACCTTTGTTGGGACAGCAAAAAGCATTCCTGCCATTTTCTGTCAGTTTGATTGCATAGTTATCTCATTATGACTTTAATCTGTATTCCCCAACAACTACCAAGGCTACACATTTTTTGATGGTCCCACCAGCCACTTGGATTTGCTCTTTTTACAACTTGTCTATTCATATTTTCTGCCATGTTTTGCCATTGAGTTACTGCTTTCCTGTCAATCTGAAAAGCACTTCTCTGACTGGCTTTGCAAATATTTCACCCAAAATTATAATGTATTGACTTTGTTGATGGCACCTTTTGCCATACAAAAGATCATAGTTTTATGTAGTCAATTTTTTCCTATTTTTTATTTTTATTTAAGTAGGTTCCATGTCCAGCATGGAGCCCAATGTAGGGCTTGAACTCATGAGCTGAGATCAAGAGTTGGAGGCTTAAGGGACTGAGCCACCCCGGCACCCTATTTTTTATTTTTTAATAGCTTTTATCCTGTGTTGATAAAATTAATCTAACTCCTAAACTGTACGTGTAGTCTTTCATTTTCCTTTAAGAACTTATTATTTAAAAAATTTAAATCTTAAATCCACCTGGATTTTTTTTATATGGTTGGGTCTGCTAGTCCAACTTTACTTTCTTCCTGATTAAAAGCCAATTGTAACAGAATTCTTTTTAAATAAACGATTCCTTTTTTCCCCTATGGTTTGAAATTCTACCTTTTCCATATATGAGAAAGTTCATATACACTAAGGTCTATTTCAGGATTTTCTATGCTGTTCCATTGATGTATTTATCGGTTCCTTTGCCAATACTTTATTAAAGTGACTTCATGTTATATTCCAACATCTGGTATGCAATTTTCTTTTTCATACTTTTCTTGTTTAGATTGTTAGAACAAATGTTCTTCCATAAGGACTTTAAGATCATTTCACAAAAGATTAAAAAAAAAAAAGGCACAGACATTTAGTGTAATTCCAAAAGAAGTGCATATATGTTATTAGATGTTTACAGAGAGAAGCTTTTAATTTCTATACTGTCTTCTCAGAAAATTGTCTTTTAATTCAAAACAATTACTAGTCTCTTCATTTATTGATATACAATTATATCAGAAAAAATTTTACCTTTTTTATTGTTTATACCAATTATTTAATTTTATTTTCTATTGCCTTCATTGGAAACTCTAAGACAATATTTAGTAAAAATAGACAGCAGTGAACACTTTTATCTCTAATACTATTAAATTCTTAATCTTCAAAAAATGGTTTTAACATAATATATGCTATAGAGTTTTGGTAAAGAGAATCTTAAGTGGTTATTATATATTACAATTTAACTTACATGTTTGCAAAATTCAATTAAATACCTTCCAGCATCTATGATGGCATCTTCTCTTTCAAACTGTTAATTTTATTGATGTATTTCCTATTACTGCATTGGCTCTGCATTCTTGGAATAATTCTTAGTTGGTCATTATAATACATCATTCTTAGGTATACTGCTGAATTCTATTTGCTATTATTCTAATTTTTTATTTCTAAACTCATGAGTAAGACTGGTTTGGGGTTTTCTTTTTTCCACTACTTTGATTTGGTTTTGGTGTTAAAACTTATTCTGACTTCATAAAATAAATTGGGGATCATAGTCTATGGGCTGAAATATTTCAAATAACACTGGTATTACTCTTTAAAAGTTAGATGAGGGGCACCTGGGTGGCTCAGTCAGTTAAGCATCCAATTCTTGATCTCAGCTCAGGTCTCAATCTCAGGGTCATGAATTCAAGCCCCATAGTGGGCTCCATGCTGGGCATGGAGCCTACAAAAAATAGTTAGATGAAACTAATTATAAAAACATCTGGGCCTGGAGCATTTTTCAATCCTAGGTCTTTAATCACTTTTCCAAACTCTTCAATGGTAATTGTTCTATCAAGTTTCTACTTCTTATTGCAATTTTTCTTACATTGTGCTAGAAAAACATTTATTTCCTCTTTTAAAAGCATGCTGATCTACAGTTGTGAGAAATATCTTTTATCATTCTTTTAATCACATCTGTGATTATGTTTCTTTTTTTCCCTAGTTTTTATTTAAATTCCAGTTAAAATACAGTGTAATATTAGTTTCAGGTGTAGAATTTAGTGATTCATCACTTAAACACAACACCCAGTGCTCATGTGATTGCTTCCTTTCTCATTCTGGATCAGGCATTCTTATAGGGAGGCACGTCTTGAACAATATGGCCATTTGTTTTATTTGGATGACATGGCAGCTCAGGGAAGTAGACTTTTTTCAAAGATTGAAATGATGAAACAACTTGGGTTTTAGTGCCCAGGACATTCACAGGGAAATTGATAGGGAAGAAACGTGGATGTTGCTGAATTAATTTGCAAAAAGAAAAAATAAAAACAAAAATTTTCCTTCTTTGGTCTCTGCATGAAGCATTTCTGAATTATAAGACTCATATAAACAGTGTCTTTCCTACTAATTTGCTGCAAGGCATGTTAAGCAAGACTAAGAAAACAGAAGAGGTGCAAAATATACCAGGGCCAAACTACTTTTTGTCAAATAATGGCTGTGCTGAGTAATCAAGTTTATAGTATTTTGTTCATCCGATATTAGGTTGTGAAACTATTCCTTAGCTTTGCCTTTTTAACATTAACAAATGTTATTATCATTATTTTTTATATTGTTAAAAGACACTAAAAGACAATGGTGATATTTAGAGTGGAAAAGTTGGTGAATGGTATTCTACATACTATGTGACACATATGCTTGATATTCACAATTTACATTAAGTTCACATTTACATTTCCAAAATATAATGCTTATTATGTGGCTCACTGTGGAATATACCAGAATATACCAATTCTCTTCACATATATTTTGTATGCTGTTGTCATTCCATTAACATATTTTTAAACTTTCATAAGCCAGAGTAACCATGTTTGTTTTATAAAGTATTTTCTATAATCTTTGTATAAAAATTTCTATCACAATTAGAACATGACTTCCCTTATGGTAAAACATTTTGTCCAAATTCATTAAATCAATGAGATTTCTCCTAAAAATGAATTCCTCCGCATATAATGAAATAGGATACCTTGATTAAGGCTTTCTCACAATTATCAGGTTTTAATTCCTATAGGCATTCTTTCTGGCATGAATTTTCTGATGTCTACTGAGGTTTGGCTTCTGATAAAAAGCTTTGCCACATTCACTGCATCCATAAGGTTTTTCTCCTGTATGAGTTCTCCAGTGTTTATTGAGGCATGACTTTTGGCTGAAGGCTTTCCCACATTCTCTGCAACGATATGGTCTTTCTCCTGTGTGTATTTTTCGATGTACATTGAGGTATGACTTCTCACCAAATGACTTCCCACATTCACTGCACACAAAGGGTCTCTCTCCAGTATGTGTTCTTTGATGTTCTCTGCGGTGTGACTTCTGAGTGAAGGCTTTCCCACAGAAAAAACATTCAAAGGGTCTTACCCCAGTGTGAATTCGCTGATGTTTAATGAGGGTTGACTTATGTGAAAAGGCTTTCCCACAGTCAGTGCATCCATATGGCTTCTCCCCAGTGTGACTTCTCTGATGCCTAATGAATTCAGACTTGTAGCAGAAGGCTTTCCCACACTCGCTACAGACATGGGGTTTCTCTGTAGGTGGAACCCTCTTACGTTTGTACACAAGAGAATTGGTTACTGCTGGTTTATACATAAGTGCTGGGTTGTGGCTGAAAGCTTTCTCACAATGACTGCATTCCCAGAGTTTTTCTCCATTAGGTCTTCTATCATGGTTTGTATGTTGTAACAATTTCCCACATCCACAGCACTCATCTTGTTTTTTTGAATAGTTTCTCTTAAAACCAATAAAATCTAAATTATGGTTTGCACTCTTTCCACAGGGGTCCCAGTTAGTAGGGTTTTGAATTGAAGGAAAAAGATTAGTGCTCAGAGGTGATATTTTCCCAAACTTATTGCTTTCATGGCTTCTTTCCTTGGGCAGTGTTTTCTTGCTGATGAATGCACCTTGTTTCAAAATCATGTCTTGTCTTTTCCTCTGGACATTAACTTGACAAATGTTTTCTGCAGAAAATACAGCAAACCTTTCTTTATTCTATTATTATGATCTAGAATAAAATTACTTGAGAAATACCCTAAGAATTTAAACAATGCACAATACATGAACACAAAGCATGAGCCATAACTAAATGCAGGGAAGGGTGTTGTATGAGTAGAGAAGATTCACAACACTGGCACAAATGAAATGGAATATGTCATAGAGTGTACAAAGAAATAATTTTGAAGAAGATGGGATATTGTAGAGCAGTGGTTGGCAAACATGTTCTTAAAGGGCCAGAGAGTAAATTTTAGGCTTTGTGGACCATATGGTCTCAGTCAAAATTACTCAACTCTCCCATTGTATTTGAGAAACATAAGACAGTACATAAATGTAAAGGCATGGCTGTGTTCCAATAAAACTTTATTTACAAAATCAGGTAGCCAACCTATAGGCTGTAGTTTGTCAAACCTGTTACTGAGGTGTCATATAGAACCTTGCTATTCAATGTGTGGCTCTTGGGGCGCCTGGGTGGCTCAGTCATTAAGTGTCTGCCTTTGACTCAGGTCATGATCCCAGGGTCCTGGGATCGAGTCCCGCATTGGGCCCCTGCTCAGTGGGAAGCCTGCTTCTCCCTCTCCTACTCCGCCTGCTTGTGTTCCCTCTCTCGCTGTGTCTCTCTCTGTCAAATAAATAAATAAAATCTTTAAAAAAAAAATGTGTGGCTCTTAAAAGAGGGAAAAGAAAGGCAGCTGATAGCCAGGTTACTATGGTTTCAGGAAGGTTGATGAGCGTAATTTAATGACACAAAATACACCCTAGAGGGCACCAGAATGTGATGGTTAAGAGTACTGGTTCTGAGGGGCGCCTGGGTGGCTCAGTAGTTAAGCGTCTGCCTTCGGCTCAGGTCATGATCCTGGGGTCCTGGGATCGAGCCCCACATTGGGCTCCATGCTCCACGGTAAGCCTGCTCCTCCCTCTCCCACTCCCCCTGCTTGTGTTCCCTCTCTCGCTGTGTCTCTCTCTGTCAAATAAATAAAATCTTTAAAAAAAATGTGAAGAAATTCACATATATAACCATATATTAAAAAAAAAAAAAAGAGTACTGGTTTTGAAACCTGACCACATGGGCTCAAATCTCTGTTCAGTCCCTTACTTTGCTATATGTTCTTAGATAAGTTTCCTAACTTTTCTGTGACTGTTTCATTTGTAAATGGTGTAACAAAGGCTGGATATCTCACAGGTGTTGTAAGGGTTGAATGAAATGATATATGTAAAGGGCTGAGAACAAATCTGGCATAGAGTGAGCACACACACTGGCCAATAATTCTAGTGCTGTTGCTGCTACTACTACAACCAAGGTGAATGAACAGTGGATGGTAGTAATTTCAGAGACATCATTTTGGGGAGAAGCATGAGAATGACTTGAATGTTTTTGGGGTTCATGTAATATTTAATTCAATTATGTGATTACAACACCAAGCGTAAGTGGCATAAACAGATTGGGAACAGACAGCACTGACTATTCTTGCTAAGCCCATGACTCTTGTGGAGAAGTAGAAGTTCAAAGGCATCCTTAAGAGTAGGTTACCAACACTTGAGGTGCCATGGGTATTGTTGGGATATTTTATAGAGCTGATGGGAAAGGGGCAGTTATTCTGAATGTTAAATGAAAGTAGTTAAGATGGGCCAAGGCCAAGCTCAGTCATGTGCTTTACTGCCCCGCTGTCTTTGGTTACCTGAAATTTAATACTTCCTCCTCTTGGACTTAAGGAAACTAAAGGACTGAGGGATAAGGAAAGGATGGGAAGTGAGAGTGTGGGTATGGCGGGCAGGTCTGGGGCATTTTACCTGGAAACTGTGAGAACAGGAAATAGGAAGGGACCAGCCGGAGCGGGAGAATGACAGGAGCTTATTTGTAAGAATGCCTGAATGTGAAAGAGAAGGTGTACTGAAAACCTTAAGAGACCAAGGATTCTGGAGAAAGGGCAATGGAGCAAGAACACAGGGAGAGATGAGATGAGGAGAAGGAACACCTGGATAAAGGAGGTGGGGTGCATGGAGGATGAAGGGTCATCAAGAAGGCTAAAGCTCTCAGAGAAATGTCTCCAGCTGCTTGCAAAGCTCTAAGGCTTTTGAGAGCTGGACTCTGAACAAAATCCCAAAGGTGCCAGCCTCCCATAGTACCTCTTTTGCTGAATGTATACTTACCCTGACAGTGGCAGCCTGAGCATGCTGCCTCACAAATCCATGGTGCTTCTTCCTGCTCCAGCTTGAGGATCACATATGGTTTAGTGCCTTCATAACCTGTTCCAGGGAAATGATCCAGGCCTTGGGCTGAGCTCCTTGGTCTTCAGGGCCACTCAGGCAGCATTAAAGGCTGCACAACAGACATTGTACTTGGGAGAAGACTGTACACACACCTTGTCCAGAACCAAAAGGAATTAGTAACCCAAGACCACTGAACCTCAAGCCAAATTCACTGAGGCAGCACAGTGTAAAAGTCAGGAACGCAAAATGTGCAGCCAGACTGCTGGGGTTCAAATCCTACTCTTGGCTCTATATGTACCAGGTGAGTGACACTGGGCAAGTTACTTCACCCATCTGCCTCTGTTTCCAAATGTGTAAAATAGTGGAACTAATAGTACCTACCTCATAAGGCTCTTAGGAGAATTAAATAAGTTAATACTTTAAAAGTGGCTGAAATAGTGTCTGGCACATAGGAAGTATTTCATACTTCTGAGGCTCTAGGTACCTCAGTTACTTTTAGCAACTGAAAAAGGAAAGGCGGTCATTCACGCATAATCTAGATTGTGTGGTGGAGCTGTTCTTACCCACTGAGACAAGGTTGCTGTAGGTCTCCAGCATCACATCCCGGTACAGTGCCCTCTGAGCAGGATTCAGCCTGTGCCACTCCTCTTGAGTGAAGCCTACTACCACGTCTTTGAAGGACACAGGTCTCTGCTGAGGATGAAATGGCATTGAGTCATGTGGGAAAATGCAGCCAGGGGTGGATGGTATGGAGTTTTTATGTTCCTAGGTTAGAGCTTATCATAATTTATCTATCTAGGATGCTTTTACATTCCTGGCTTTGGGTTATGTATGGTAGGGAAAATAACAATCACATTGGAACCCGCTGTCATATATACTTTGAGTCAACATGTATTGACTGAAGACGACCTGCTTTGTGTAACCCAGTGCTGGCTGCTGGAGACATAGTCATGGATGGTTCTTGACCTCAAGGAGCTCACAGCCTGGCAGAAAGCAATATGTAAAGCCATCCAGGTGAAAGTATATGAGGTATGGTGGCAGGACATCTAGGTTATAGAAAAGTGTGAATGGTCCATTAAATGTTTCAAGGTCTAGCAAGGCTTCAGAGCTAGGGGATATGTGGAGCTGAGTCTTCTCTGCAGAAAGATGGAGAAACTGCAATCCTTGCAGACAGAGCAGCATGAACACAGGCATGGGGATAGAACAGTGACTTTAAGGGCTGCAAGGCTCTCAGTAACAGGAGGAGTATAGAGGGGCATATGAGTGATGAGATGATGGACTTTAAGACAATGGAAAATCTATCAAGGGAGAGGTGTGTGTAGAAAGCACATTCTATTAGGCATGTGGTGAGTTTCTTGTATCCTATGTCAAGTGGTACAGTGGTAACTCTAAGCAGACTGAAAAGTTAAGAAAATATCTTGTATCCCTAGAGGAACCACTAAAATCATAGTGCAAAGAGGTGTATTGAAGTAAATGAAGTAAATGAATTCCAAAAAATATTCATTTAATTCACACAAACACACACATAAGAGAAGAGAAGAAATAGAGGAACAAAAGCACATGGGACAAATAAAAAACCAAATACTAAAAAGATACAAATCCAACCATACCAATAATTATACTTATATTCAATGATAGTAAATTATAATATAAATTAATATATGACTGAACACTCCAAAAGGCAGAGATTGTTAGGCTGGATTAAAAAAGCAATGCTGGGATGCCTGCATGGTTCAGTTGGTTAAGTATCTGCCTTCAGCTCAGGTCATGATCCCGGTCCTATGATCAAGCCCCGCATTGGGCTCCCTGCTCAGCGGGGAGCCTGCTTCTCCCTCTCCCTCTGCCACTCCCCCTGCCTGTGCTCTCCTGCTCTCTGTGAAATAAATAAATAAAATCTTTTAAAAAATAAAATAAAAAAGCAGTGCTGCCTAGAAGAGATACAAAACTTACAGATAATTTGCAAGTGAATGGATACAAAGAGAAATGTGGTGGGTGACCTGGAGGGAAGTGAAAGCAAAAACTGTAATAATGCAGCTAGAAGATGGTGTTCACAAGTGGGACAGTACAAGTGAGACAGAGAAGGACCATTGTAAAGAAGAGCAGAACCTGCACCTTAACTGGTTGTGGGGGGTGAAAGAGGGGTAAGGGTAACACCCAAGTATCTCAAAGCCAATTGGGTGATGGTCAATCAGACCTGAGAAAAACAGCAGAAACAAAGAGGATGTGTTGTTAGACATGTCTGGGGACACATGGGTGGAGACACTTAGTATGCAGCAGGATGAACATATGAATCTTGTATCAGAAGCAAGATCAGGAAGGGAGCTAAAGCTCTGGAAGCAGCAGCAGAGAAGTGGTAGCTAAAGTTGTCAGTGTGGGATCTCCCTGCAAGGAGACAGGATGAGCAAAGCATCCAGGCCAAAGCCCCAAGGGACCCTAATAGAGTTCAGCTGGAGACCCAAGAGCAGGACTTACAAGTACTGACCTAAGAGGGCACCTGTGATATTGTGATATATTAAGAAATATATATTTGGTTTTCCTTCCTGGTTCCTGGAACAGAGCTTCTTAAACCCTTGTAACTTCCTGAGTAACAGGGGTAATAGGAGTGTCTTTTGTTATTTCTAACAAGCCTCAGTCAACAATACACAAGTTTATGCCAATGACGTGGAGGAAGGGGGCTAGTTGCCAGAGGAACTAACCATATGATTAGAGGGCTGGAACTTTCAGCCCCCTTTTCCACCCTGCCCAACTTCTGGGTCAGGGTGGGGGTGAATGGGTGGTACCAGAGATTGAGCTAATTACCAATCAATGATTTAATCAACGATGCCTACATGATGGAAATCTCATGAAAACCCTGAAGAGCTTTTAGGTTAGTGAACACATCTGGCAAGATGCACACCCCAAACTACGGACAGAAGCTCATGTGCTCAGGACCATTCTGTACCTTGTTATCTGGCTTTTCATTTGTATCCTTTATAATAAACCTATAATAGTAAGTGAAGTATCTCCCAGATCTGTGAATCACTATAGCAAATTATCAAAACTGAAGAGGGGGTCATAGGAACCCCTGACTTATAGCTAGCTGGTCAGAAGTTCAGGTGACAACCTGAGATTTGTAATTAGCATCTGAAGAGGGGGGCAGTCTTGTGAGACTGAGTCCCTAACTTGTAGGGTCTATGCTAAATCCAAGTTGAACTAGGTTGTAGGACACCCAGTTGGTGTCCACTGGAGAATTGGGAGAATTGTTTGGTGTAGGGAAAAAACTCCCCAATTCCTGTGAGTAGAGGAAACAGTACCTATGATATATCTTCAAGTGACTGTAAAGAATTGAACCTTCCCCAAAGAGAGGTCTGATCTTTGCACTCAGCTCCTGGGAGTTAATCTCTAAGCCCCTGCAATGTTCTGTTTGATAAGACCGTCTTTGTTTACCTGGAGGCCTTGGGCCACGTGAGATAGTCTAACAATGTGATTTCTGGTGGGGGCTTTGGGTCACAGGCATCAGCTCAACCTCAGGAGGAGGCTGTACATCTCTTTAAAAAATGTGGGGTCCTACAGTGGCACCTGAGCAGTAGCCCAAGCAGATGGACCTGAAGGCAGGACCTGGCACAGGACCTAGACCCATACAAAGGCCATGTCGTAGGAGGTACCAACCAGATATCCTCTCTGATGTCAGGATAACATACCATGGTAGTGGGAGAACAGCAATCAGTCTTTTACCACAGAGCATGGAGCCTGGCTCAGTTGACAGGCCTGGGTCGGTATTTCCAAAAACAGAGCTAATTGGAGTGGGATGGGATGGGATAGAACAGAACAAAATAGAAAAGATGTCATTTGACACCCATAAAGGCATGTCATTTTCACCAAACATGGGGATGAAGAGGAAAGAGATGGAAGAAACATTAAGGTTGTACAATTACCATCACTTAGTGACTGAGTGTGAGAATGGGAAGGCAGGGAGAAGTCAAGGATATGGTCCTGGCTTGTCCAGTGGGATGGGACCATCTCCTGAGATGGGAAACTGTGGCACAAAGAGGTTCAGAGACTTGTACAAAGTCATACAGACGATAAGGTGTGGGACTCAAACTCAGCAGTCTGGCTCCAAGTCTGTGCTCTCACCCAGTATATGCTGTTGCCTTCTGCACAGAAGGGGGCAAACGGTACAGTCTACTTTAGCAGAACAATCAGAAAGCATCTTCTGATTTCAGCCTCAGAAAAGTCACCTGGGCCCTTGGCCAGAAAAGCTTTAGTCAAGTGGGGAGAGAGGATGCTGGATTCAAGAAAGAATAAGAAACAGGATATGGAAACATCAAGAGTAGGAAGTCACTACAAGAGACGGAGGAGGCCAGGGGAGAAAGGAAAGGACTTTGCGGTTTGGAAGTGATGATGGTTTCTAGGGTTGGAGGCACTGACAATGGTTGTAGGGACAAGGGAAAAGATCTGGGAAAGGGGAGAGGATGGGTCTCCAGAAAGAGATGTCCCTCCTGGAGGGAGGCCTCCAAAGAGGTGGAAATGTAGGAACTCAGGGGCTGAGGGGGGAGTCCTGTCAGGACGCAGCGAACTTCACCATCATAAGATGGTGAGGAAAGTAGGGGGAGCTGGGAACTCCTCACACCAAGACTTGGTGGGGACTAAGATGTTCACTGTTTGCTGCCAAACTAGTAAAGACAGTTAAGGGAATGACAGTAATTTAAATAATGGACAGCTCATCTGTTCCTCAGTCTAGATCAAGGACACAGATACCCTGGACCAAAATCAGGACTTACATAAATGGGGAGGAAACTTCCTGTCTGCTCCCTTTGAAAATAAATAATATTTGTATTTTCACTTTCCTCTAACTGAACTTTAGCACTTTATTCCATTACACATGTGGCTGCAAAGCACAGAGGAGTTAAAACTTCCTGCAACTCTGACACAGATAGAAAACACTTCATTGGGAAACTAAGTCATGATGCTTCTGGTCACCTCGAAATCCAGGAGTTCTGTGGGGCTAATACTCAACTCCAACGGAAGAGCTGAACCACTGTAAAAAATATGCTTCTACATTGGTTAGTTATCGTTAAGAATTTTGTCCTCTCTGTCAGTGCTTCTCACACTTACAAGAGCATAAGGATCCCGGAGAGCTTGTTAAACATAGATTCCCAGGCTCCTCTCAAATAACTTGATTCAAGCAGGTCTGGGGTGGGGCCTGCCATTCTGTATGTCTAACAAGCTCCTTGGAGAAGCCCATGTCCTGGGACCACATGGTTAGCAGCAGTGTTGCTCTACCTCAGTCATAAGAAGGCCCCTCAGGGAAATGTCTTTAGAAAGTGCCTTGAAAAGCTAGTTTTCTCTTAATAAACAGCAAGCTTCTGTCCTATGGCCAGTGCAAATCATGGGCTGTCTTGTGTTTGCCTTTTTGCTGGGCCACCAGGAAGACCACAGTTAATGACCCTTGTTGGACTGTTTTGTATATCTGTATATAATGATGAAGGTTCCTTGCATCATTCCTTGTAATATCAAATTTGGAAATTACCTGAATGTCATAAAATGGGGGGCTAGTCATCCATATTCCATGTAGGATGGAGCATTATGTACCTTGTTTAAAAAAAAATGGTGTGGGGGCGCCTGGGTGGCTCAGTCGTTAAGCATCTGCCTTCAGCTCAGGTCATGATCCCAGGGTCCTGGGATCGAGCCCCACATCGGGCTCCCCGTTCTGCGGGAAGCCTGCTTCTCCCTCTCCCACTCCCCCTGCTTGTGTTCCCTCTCTTGCTATGTCTCTGTCAAATAAATAAATAAAATCTAAAAGAAAAAAAAAAGGTGTGGTCCCAAGTACTAATATGTACAATCTCTAAGATATTTTATTTGGGAAAAAAGGGGTAGAGTAGTATGTATAATAAGGGTCTTGCCATTGCATCTATGTGTAGACAGAAGCTGTGATGTTCCACCCAAATCCCCCTGAAGGACTGAGGTATTCTCCCAGCTGTTAGAAGGCTGGCTACTGCAGGCTTGAGACCTTTTCCAAAGTGCCCTTGGTCAAAGGGAGCTACCCACGAAAACTTATGTCCCCTCCCTGGGGCAGCCTACAACCAGTGACTGGTTGATTTCAGAACATAAAGGCCTCCTTCCCTCCATTCAAGACAACAGCAAGGGCCATCCCAGCTCCAAAGCATCTTGTAAGGTCAGCTGGTGCCTGTTTAAATCCCTCTGCCTAATCCTGCTTCCTTTGCTCCTTATAAGTGTTCTAAGAGTCTACCTAGTAAACCTCATGTGTGCAAACCTCCCACCTCCAAGTCTGTTTTCTGAGAACCCAGCCTGTGATAAAGTATACATGCTTGAAATGCCCATATTTTTTCTAGAACAGTTTCCCAAGAAGGGAAACTCGGCTACTTTATGTCACACTTACCTGGTACTCAATCATTTTCTGCTGTTCTTGGAAAAAGATTTGAGTCCTGTGAAGACAGACATTGGGGGAAAGAGGATGGAGGAAGAGAGAACAGAGCTGTGAGGGACCAGGCCCGTCTCAGAACTTGCAAAGTCCCTACATAAATCTTGTACAAAAATCCATGCTTGAAATCACTGTGGTAAAAGAAAAAAAAATGGTGCCATTCAATTCAGAATGTGAATGCATAAAACAGACCTCCCAGGAAGTAAAAGCTGCTACCAAGTAAGAAGTAAAAATTTATTAAAAACCAAAATCTTTAAAACTTAAATAACTGTCCCCATGGGAGATGGAGCCAAATTCATGCTGAGTGGGATCACCCCTGCAGAACAATACATTTTCTCTTAAAGGCAAAAAAGGCTTGGGTTTTGCCTCTTATTTACTTTTAAAGTTGCACTTGTTCACCTACCGGTGTTTATGAAGTCCTATATTTGGGATGCTTTTTCTATCATAATATTACCATTGAAAAAAGTATATACTGAAAAAGTATATACTGTAACTTATTACAAAGAACTCAAAGCAAAATAAAATAACTGGATAACATCAGTTAAAACTAATGGTTACTTACACTGTGGTAGGAATGATTACTGAAAGTCTACACCTGGTTATTCATCCACTGTATTAAGTATTGTTGTTAAAAAGTATTTTCAACAGATGAGAACAAACAACTGTTATTTTTAATTAAGATGTTTAATTAAAGAGATAACTATGTGGCTTAAATTATAAAAGAAAAAGGGCGCCTGGGTGGCTCAGGTGGTTAAGCGACTGCCTTCGGCTCAGGTCATGATCCTGGAGTCCCGGGATTGAGTCCCACATCAGGCTCCCTGCTCAGCAGGGAGTCTGCTTCTCCCTCTGACCCTCTTCCCTCTCGTGCTCTCTGTCTCTCATTCTCTGTCTCAAATAAATACATAAAATCTTTAAAAAAAATTATAAAAGAAAAAGGGTAAATCATAGATTAAGAATGTAAATATTTTATGACATACTTGAATGTTTAATGGTAAAATCATTAATGGGATAACTCATGGTTTTAAAACTTCTATCTTTTGTGGCTGTATCACTGCAATTGGAAAAACCTGCTAGTGCCCAGATTCTGATCTCTTCCACTGGTTTCACTAAAAAGGAACCCGAGCTCCTTGGAAAATGGCTGAGTCCACACCTGGAGCAAAGATCACAAGAAGCACCTCTGTAATCCTGAGTGCCAGAAAGCAAAGACACTTCTTCAGGGATAGGTGCTGGCAAGGGGGCAGAGGAACCAGCCTCAAGGGCTCCAGCCATTTGAGGAGGAGTGGTAAGAGCAAACCGGTCATATCCACCAAAGCTAAACATGAATACTTCATGGTCTAGGAATTCCATATGAATGCATATGTTCACAAACTTTTAGTCTACAAAAACTATGAATTTGTAGTGAAATTCAAAAATCAAAATATTAACCTTTTTCTCTTAAAATAACGGGTACTGTAATTAAATAGGACTACTAAAACATGGAGGCTCCTAATTTCTAAAACATCCATACATTAGGAAATGTGGAACTAAACTGGTACAAAAAACTAATAAAGAATGTTTAGGTTTTTCACTCACAGAAGTAAGAAACCTTATAAAGAGGTCTGAAAATACTGTGCCAATAATCGACAGCCTGGAATTAAAAATCGACATTCAGGAGTGACAAGAGCTCTCACGCATAGCCGATGGGATTGTCATTTGGTTCAAGCATAAGGGAAACTGGCCATGTCTACTAAAAGCTTCCAGGTAGTTTAGTGATTAGCAGAGGACACCAGATTCAAGGGGAGAAAATTCTTTCAAAATGAATACATCCTTCAGGGCACCTGGGTGGCTGTCGTTAAGCATCTGCCTTTGGTTCGGGTCATGATCCCGGGGTCCTGGAATCGAGCCCTGCTTCAGGCTCCCTGTTCTGCGGGAGGCCTGCTTCTCCCTCTCCCACTCCCCCTGCTTGTGTTCCCTCCCTCTCTGTGTCTCTCTCTGTCAAATAAATATATAAATAAGTAAATCTTTAAAAAAAAGGAATACATTCTTCTAGCTTTGTTTTACAGAAGTCTTTTCTCACTAATCTATTGACAAATCATCTTTTAAAAAAGGAAATGATTCTAAAGTGCTGGAAAGATTAAGAAAAAAAAGAAAAAAGTGCTGGAAATATTCTCTGTCATGATGTGGGTGGTGAGTACATGAGGATACACATACGGAAACATTTGTAACACTATAGTGCTAAATGAGTTAATGATTTACTCTTAGTGGACAATAAACATCCACTATCTCTTAATTGTATGAAAATGCTTTGAAATATTGTACAGGTCAGAAAGCAGTTAGTGTAAAACAGGCATTTAGCTATCAGGACTGAGCAGTGAGATTATACCTTTTAAAAGATTTTTTTTTTACCGAGGTATAATTTACATATAATAAATGAATCCAGTTTAATTGCATAGTTTGATGAGTTTTGACAAATGTACTCATTCACCCACATAATCAGGATATGGAACATTTCCAGGAACATCCTGTTCACAAGATATAATAATGAATTTGTCTTAATGGTGTTAAGATTAACTACTTAGATTCCTGTCTCTTCTATAGGAGAAATAAAAAAAGGTGATTTCCTTGAATGTTAAATAAAATACAGACACTTCTTTGCTTAACTAATACATTAATCAAGTTATACCAGTAAGTCAAAAAAGTAGTTAAAAAAAAGTATGATCTACTGTTTGAATTTCATTTATATGAAGGTCAGAAACAGAGAACCCTAACCTATGTGATAGCTATGACTAGGCACTGCTTGGGAGGGGTGGGGGAAGGCTTTGGGGTGCTGGAAATGTTCTCTATTATGATCTGGGTGGTGGGTACATGAGTGTGCACATATGGAACAATTCATTAAGCTACACGCTGTTCTCTATGCACGTTACACTTCAAGTTAAAAAAAAATCCCCACAATCCCATTATTTAAAAAATACATGTGTAGAAAAGCTTTGAGTATGAAATACAATAAAATGATATTAGTGCTTCGATTTGGGTTCACACACACACACACACACACACTTCATTATTTATATATCACTGTTTCACTGCCTTTTTTCATCATGAGGGAAGCCACAGGAGGGTTTTAAAAGGGGGCGTGGGGTTCTCTGAGAGAACTGAACTGTCCATCAGGGACCGAGCTGGAAGGAAAGGCCTGGAGCCCAGCAGGCTGGGGCAGTTAATCCAGCTTTGATAACTAGTCAATTCTCTAAAAGAGTACACCCCTCCCTCATCCTCCTGGATTTAGCTACTCGCTTCGGCCCGTTCTGTCCACGGCTGCAAGGTGCCAGCCGAGTGGTGGTGTGGCAAATGTGCTAGTGAGTGTGTGTCCAGAGGCCTGTGTTCTGGCCCTGGCTCTATGACCCAGGAAAGTCACTTCCTTCACCTTCAAATGAGATGGCAGCATCAGTGGGTGAGAAACCACTGGTAAGAGCTGGATGAAAAACAGGGTATCTATATAGTATCTAAATATCCCCCCCAGATATTTATTAATTATAAAATGAAAAATTGTAACTCTGCCCTGGAGAAAACTGGCAGACATCACCTTAACCAAGTGATTAGTTAATATCACAAGTGATGGGACACAAGTCACGTGCCCCCTGATATGATGCACTACGATGGGCACAACATTCCTTCTGTGATATTCTGCCCAAAATGCATACTTGAATCTAATCATGAAGAAACATCAGACAAAAATCATGTTGAGTGGCAGTAATACAAAATAACTGGCCTATACTCTTCAAAAATGTTGACTTCATGAAAGACAAAAAGACTGAGGAACTGATTCCCATTAAAGGAGACTTTATAAACAGGTATGTCAACTAAAGGTAGTCTGTGATCCTGAACTGGATTCTGGAATGAAAAAAGAAATGTTATTATGAAAAAGCATTATTGTTTCACATCTGAATAAGGACTATGGATTAGATAATGGTATTAAATCACTGTGTTAAATGCCTGATTTTGAAAATTGCACTACGGTTATATAGGAAAATGCTCTCATTCTTAGGAAATGCACACCGAAGTATTTGGGGTAAAAGAGCAGCAGGTCTGTAACTTATTCTCAAATACTTGAAAAGGCTAAAATTAATATATATTTATAATATAACACATATATACAGAGATAGAGACAGCACGAGAGTGTAAGCGTTTATCTGGGTGAGTGTAGATGAAGGATATATAAAAACTGACAGTAATATCCCTGCAAATTTTTCAAATAAAGTTTAATTAAAAAAAAATCTATAGCTATAGTAGGTCTGCTGCCACCATCACTCTGAGAATCCAGGGACTTTTCTGCCCCTTAGTCAGGATGGAGTGAACTCCCCATATTCCCAGAGGCCAGGTGAGATGGCAAAAATGACAAGGCTGCAACTTCAAATCCAGAAACTGCTGGTAAGAGTAAGGAAGTGGGCTGGTTATATCACATGCTACAAGATGGCAGAATGTACTGTGTTGGACCGACGTCTCCGTCCCTTGAGAAAACATGCCTATCTCACTTGGCCTTGCCTGCTTCCCCCTTCACTTCTGTCTCTCTGAATCTTGGGACCCAACCCTTCCCCTACCATGGAGGGTCCCTGGAAGGAGCGACACCAAGTTGAGTCTTGCTCAGCTTCTGGCTCAGGGATGATGCTATTTCCTGTTACTTAGGAGTCTTTGCTCTGGCAAGAGGTCTTGGAACCTAGGTGCTTCCTTCAGAAGAGGTTCTTGTCCCAAGTTCCCCCTCTCCGAATCCAGAGGGTCTTCAACCTGGCCTGCTTGTCCCTCACAGCTCCATCTCTCCACAGTAACTCACCCTCAGCTGCAGCCCCAGGCAGGGCCTTCTGTAGACTTGACCAAGGTCCTGGGAAGCCCTGCTGTCAGCGAGGTGGCGGGACCCACAGGTATACAGGGTACTCAGGTAACCTGAAGATAAATAGACCCCATGATAAAAGTCATCCAACAGTCCCTCCCCAAATACTCTCTGAGGCCCAAGAGGAAGAAGCCTGCAG